GTGCGACAGACGCGGTTGTTGGAACAATGTCAGCTCGCACGGCAGGCGGATGAAGAATTAATCCGCAGGTTACAGTCAGAGTGTGGCGAATTGAGAGCGCAACGTGTTGAAGCCGAATCGCAATTAGTGACGATTGAAGAGGATCGCAGGAAGGAGGCGGATCGCACGAAGGTGGAGACGGCGAGGCGAGTCGCCCACTGTCTCAAGGGCTACGCCCACTGGGAAGTGAAGGCGCAGGAGAAACTCACACTGCGTGAGTTTGAATTGCGCGCAGCCGGGTTGTTGTCAGGCGACAGTAGGAGTCGGCGGAAGGTAGCGAAGAAGCTCGAGGCCTTTCTGTCGAAGGCACAGGATACCATGTCCGCCCTCGAGGGGGAGGTGTCCGCGGCGTTGCAGCGGTTGGGACTGCGTAGTCGAGCGGAAGAGTGGCAGGGTAGGGAGTTAGTGCGCGGCAGTCGGCCGCGTAGGAGACGTAGTACAGGTTCCGCGGAATGTAGTGTAGCGTGGTTCCGTGCAGGCGTGTAGCGTAGTACAGTGTAGTGCTAGGTAGGACTTAGAAGGTATAAAATAGTTCCAGGCGTTTTGCCTGGGGTTCTTTCCCATCAGAAGTGCAGATCAGGAACCCATTTCCTTTGCGTGTTTGTGTCCTTGAGTTCTGTCACCACGCACGAGGAGTTACAACTTAGCGTTCCGCATTTTGTAGCTGAAGGCCTTCGGCCGAATGTTCAGAGCTAGTACATTGGTTAGAGACTTGAGTAGTTCGGAACTGCACCTGCGGGTGACTGCCGATGCTCAGAGCCAGTGACTAGTTAGATACTTGAACAGTTTCGCCCCTACACCTTCGAGTGTTTCTTTCTGATTGTACTCCCTTGGGATTTTTCCCCTGAATGCCAAAGTGAAGTTTTGCTACTTCGTGTAAGCCTTGGTTGTAAATTCAGGTTACGCTGCAGCAGGTGCCTTGAGGGTAACCCCTGTAGTACTTCTGGGAATGACAAGTGCCTGAGAATTCAAACTCTTCAATAGACTGTTGTTGTGTTACTGGAATGTTTCACAGTGAGTCCTTCAGTGTGGACCTGTGTTCTCTGCGCGTTTTGTGAGTTGAGAGTGTTGTTCACCGCGTAGGAGTGACTTCGATCCGAAGTAGGCAGTCCAAACCGGGTTTCCTACACTAGCAGCAAGCTAGTGGAAGCGTTGTAAAAGCCGGAGTTGGAAGTCACTGCCCGCAGCTTTGCCGAGTGTGCTCGCGAGAGACTTTCCCCCTGAAATCTTGAAGTAGAGGTCCTAACGGATCTCTGGGTTGTATTTCTGTAGTTTCAGGTGTGTGTGTGTGTGTGTTACGCTGCACTGTGCGACCTCCGAGTGCGCTCCGAGTGGACACTTGCAGTATTTCTGGGAGTGACAGTTGCCTGAGAATTCAAACTCCTCAATAGTCTGTTAAAACGTGACACTTTGTACCCTGTGTGTTCCTCTGTCCCTGTGGGTTCGACCTTTCTACCACTATATTGCAGTTTTAGCCTTTAGTGGGTTATTACAAAGCCGGAGTTGGGAGTCACTACCCGTAGATTCGCTGAGTGTATTTGCGAGAGACTTTCCCCCTGAAATCTTAAGTGGAGGTCCTAACTGATCTCTGAGTTGTGTTGTATAGTTTCAGGTGTGTGTGTGTGTGTGTGTGTTGAGTGAACTACGCTGCACTGTGCGACCTCCGAGTGAGCTCCGAGTGAACACTTGCAGTATTTCTGGGAGTGACAGTCGCTTGAAAATTCAAACTCTTCAATAGTTTGTTAAATGTGACACTTTGTACTATGTGTGTTGTCTCTGTCCCTGTGGATTCGACCTTTCTACCACTATATTGCAGTTTTAGCCTTTGGTGGGTTACTACAATTAATTAGATCGTCATTATCATTCAATGACAAATATATTTGTATCTTTAAATGTATCGTAGTAAGTTAAGTCTACTTTTCAATTTGATGAAACATAGTACTTAATCATCGTGTTTGACTTGTCTCAATGAGAAAACTGTGAGCACAAAACTGTGCTCACATGTCTTTTTACCCTTATGAGAGTTAAAAGTTTGGATTTAAGCTCTTGCAAAATTATGCTTGGGGTTTTCTGAAAGTTTTGGCAAGATTAGGAGTTGGTGTGATGGTTAGGGGGCACAAGGTGCGGAAGGGGTCCTCCGGGGCAAGGTCTTCGGCGAAGTGCCTTCGGTGAAGTCCCTTTGGAAAAGGCCTTCGGCGAAGAAGTGAAACTCTCATAACGTTTTCAATGTGTAACGCCTTGACTCAGTTAGGGTCTTGTTGGAAAGAGCTCGCGACGCTCGTTCCAACGAGACCAAGAACTCTTGAAACGGATAAGGCATCACCGAGTTAGGAGCGGCAGAAGTTTCTGATATGGAGGGCCTTAGGCGGGTTGCGCATAGGCGGCCTACGCATAGGCGGCCTGTGCATAGGCAAACGCCTTCGGCGGAAGGGTAAAACCGTGATAACGTTTTCAATTCTTAACGGTTTGCGTTGGTTAGGGTCTCGTTAGAAAAGGCTCGACACGCTCATTCTAACTAGCCCAAGAACGCTTGGAACGGATGAGTACTTAGGGAGTTATGACTATCGGAAGATACGTAGACGTTCGCCTTCGGCGGAAGGAGTTCGCCTCCGCCGGGGATTCCGCCTACGCAGAAGGGAGTTTGACTTTTGTCCTATGCGCGGACGAACGCCTTCGGCGGTTGCAGGCCTTCGGCGAAGCAGTAAAACCGGCATATCTTTTTCAATTCTTAGCATTTTGACTTGATTCGGGTCTCGTTGGAAAGAACTCGACGCGCTCGTTCCAACGAGACCAAGATCTCTTGAAACGGATCAGTCATCACTGAGTTATGAGCGTCGAAGCGGCTGTCATGGTTAGGCGAGGGGCCTTCGGCGTTAACAGTTAGAGGGGCCTTCGGTCCAAGGCGGCCTGCGCATAGGAGGGTTGCGTGTAGGACGCCTGTGCATAGGCAAACGCCTTTGGCGGAAGAGTAAAACCGTCATAACTTTTTCAATTCTTATTGGTTTGATTTAGTTAGGGGCTCATTGGAAAGAGCAGAACACGCTTGTTCCAACGAGCCCAAGATCGTTTCAAACGAAGCAGGGATCCGTGAGTTATGGGCGTCGGGGTGACTGTTATAGATAGGCAAAGGTGCGGAAGAGTGTCTTCGGCGGGGGGATGCCTTTGGCGGTGCGCGGAAGAAGATTTCGGAGAGCGGATGTTGACGTGATCATAAATAAAGACTGTACAGGTGTGGCAGTGGCGGCGGCGTGAAGTCAGGCGTGGAAATAGGACGGCGGGGCATGAAGTCGCACATGGGAATCATGCCGTTGCCCATCATCGCGGAAACGGCATTCACGCGGCCTGTGGGTGACTCGGTCCTTGGACGTCGGAGAGGATTATTCGGCCTGCGAGCTGGGATTGTGTGGTGTGCCATTGTGTGGAGACGCTGGTGGGATCGGTAGAAGGAATAGAGTGTGGACGTGAGTGATTTTCGTTGGGAAGTGGTGAGGATTAGGGTGGGAGTGTGGAGTGTTCGAGGTAGGAGGAAGCAACCTCTCGTGGGTGGGGAGTCGTATCTGAGAGTAATGTGTGAGTGGGATCTGAGATTGAGGTGCATAAATCTGAGAGTGGGATCTAAGATTGAAGTGTAATCCGTGAGTGGGATCTGAGATCAGAGTGGAAGACCTGAGATTGGGAGCTGAGAGTGAAGCGAAATTTGAGACTGAAATCTGACAGTCGGGATCTGAATTTGAAACTGAAAAGGAAGAGTTGAATCTGAGAGAGGAATCTGGTGGGGTCTGAAGGTGGAAGCTGAGAAATCGACACTGAAATCTGAGTAGGAATTGGGAGTGGAACTCGGAGCTAGGATAGACCACAGCGGCTTTGGTATTGAGAAAGTCACCCAGAGTTGGGTTAGATCTTTATGTAACAAAGAGCTTGTCTGCTGTTCTTGTGGAGATAGCAGACAGCAAGTTATTATTTTCAGTTCTGGATAATTTGTCTGTGAAAGAGCAAATGTTTATGATCTCATTGTCTTGAATACACTTTGACCACATGGTTGAGATCAGAGAAGTTAGATTATGGGAGCTCGAACCCTCACTTGGACTACAAACGCTGAAGGGTGGGGAATTTAGGCTCACAAAAACATGTGATTTAGAATATAATTTTCAAATTCATCAATAAATCTTAATTTATTCATATATTTGTATTGTATATTGTACTGTATAAAACAATACAGGACTATATGATCAAATAAATGTCTTGATATTTTGAAGAATTTGAAATTTCATGCAACATGAAGTTAATAAATAATGATCAAAGTATGATGTTTGCTTCCACACATGTCCAGTGATTAGGAGTGTTTTTTATGACACTTATAAAAAAATATGACTTTCTTATTGAGTGATTGAAATGATCTTTCCACGACAACATTTTTATTCGAATACATTCTTTCTCATAAAATTATAGCTTACATTTGTTTCACAATGACAATGAGATATAAAATAAACAGATACAACATCAAAAAATGCGAGGATTACACATGTTAATTTTGGAAGTTAAAATATATAACATTTCGTATAACTCAAATATAGATGACAAAATATCATACAAACTTTCGAACACTTGAGTTATATTGTTCAACTGCATTGTAAGTTAATTGAGAGAATTTTTAATTTATTAATATATTTCATTGTATAAGCCAATACTTAATAGAGTCTTCCACATGTAATTAACTACTCAAATGAAGATTGACGTGATGATAGATAGATAGTGTCTTCTTCCACTATTTTATAGTAAAATTTATAGAAATGGTTGGTTCATTGTCCAGCACTTTCGTTCTCGTGTTTGTGCTGCTGTTATTGAAGCATTCTTCGCATATACCGGGACCATAGAGCCTTCACATTCGTAGATATTTTCGATTCTACAAAACAATACTCTGTATATATGTACATACATACACCAATAATAATATAATGTATAAAATAATTCCAAAAAATATATTATTATTTATAGAATGATCATAAAGAAGTTTACTCCTATATACTGGTCTAATTTAAATAGAGCTACTTCTTGCGTTCAACTCGAGTTCTAAATTTGACGATAAGCAATGACATTACATACTCTATCATCTAGAGAAGCCTACTTCATGATTGTGATTAATACTAATTACCTAGGATGCATTTCTGTGAGCTCCATGACCTGTGATCTGTACTGGTTACTAGATATCAAGGTACGCTCCTCACTTTCACGACTGATGCGAGGTCTCCTATCTTCCATTATATCTTCCAAGCTTGTCCTGTTGCCCCTGAGCTCTTTGACGATTTCCATAGCTACATCCGCATGTTTCATAAACAAGTGCATCACTTGAGACATAGTTGGACGCTTCTTGGGATCGACTTGAAGACAAGACAGCGCCGTCTCCAGGACCAGCAAAACCTCTTCTTCATTATATGCCCCTATGAGGTCCTGATCGACCAGATCCAGCAAATTTCCGTCCTCATACAAGGCCAAAGCCTGCACATCTCACATGTTCATGATAAAGAGCACGATGTATCAGAAGATCAGTTTGCAAGCATCTTTAGTAGATTAACCTCGTACAGGCCATCACTAAGTTCGTAAAATTGGTAAGTTCTACACAACCAAAGCTGTTAATCACAAGTCAAAGAATTCCATTTTTGTAGTAATAGTAAAATGTTCCGCCTATACATGGCCATATTCAATGTATGACAACTTGTATAGGGAGTGAGATATGCTTATGGAGATTCTTTCATCAAGTTCACACAATGGGGAATCTATTTATTGTTTCCATATTGAGTTTCTATCTATATTTATAATTCATGTCATTGTAAAGAGTGAAATCAGTTATTGTTTTCAACATAGGTATCCACTAATTTACCATAGGGTTTAGGTCAATCTTGGCAGCCCAATCCCACGTTAGTTCTCAGTAACTCCAGGTTTCAAGTTTGATATGTTTGTTCGGAAACATAGTTAAAATTACACACATAGCGAGTGACTAGATTGTATTTATCTAGAGAATTAGAGAGGTTAGTCATGTCCCAAACTAGGGTTTCCCATACCTTGGATTTATACCACTGTACGTGAAATTTAGTGCAATTAATAGAACCATCATCGGGGTGGCGGTACATCTAGTAGAAATCATAATCAACTGTGCAACATTGGTCAAAATAAGAAAAGTATAGGTCAGCTAGTACGTGATTAAACATAACTCACCCAGGCTCGGAGATAAATTCGTTCTGCAGTCATCCTATAATTGATGCAAAGCCTCCCGGAAACAATCTCCAACAGAACAACGCCGAAGCTATAAACGTCCAGTTTCTCCGATACCACGCCCTCTGTTGCATACTCCGGTGAGAAGTAGCCCCTGTGAATGTTCAGCAAGAGAACCAAACTGTCAGTGGCTTGATTTACGGTGCCGGAAGCAAAACTAGATAAGGATAATTCTCCTGTATTGTAAGAATTTAACAACTTCATCCCTCATATCTGACCTTGTTCCACCGATGTTGACCGTGACTAGAGTGTCGTCTGTGTGAGCGGGTCTGACTAATCCAAAATCAGCAATCTTTGCATTATAGTCCTTGTCCAGAAGAATGTTCTGAGGTTTGATATCTCTGTGGAGCGAATTGGAGGCGTCAGTACACGTTTATGTGGAGTAATAAAACTCAAGTGCTGCTTAGAGGTCTGACTCATGGCTAAAGATAAATACAGTTGCAAAGTGGGTCTGTGCATGACCTCCTTTGGACGCAACCTACTCCTTCTACTTTACAAGCTCTGTTTCACGATAAGAATCAATCTAAACTAATGGTTTCTGGTATACAAATATGAATCGCGTCCAGAATTGTCTGACCTGTGAATCATCTTCGGCTGCAACTCTTCGTGTAAATAAGCAAGTCCACGGGCTATTCCAACGCATATTTTGAACCGCTGTTCCCAACTCAGTATGAAAACTTTATCGAGACCTAGAAGTGAGTGTGGAGTGGAGTGGACGTCAATAACTATCATCTATGTATCGAACAAAAGTCTATGACATAGATTTCGTTAGAATGTCGCTTATCTACCTACATTCCGTCAGGTCACCTCGGCCACAAGAATGAATTGGAACCTATAAAGTTTCATCAATGGAAACTCTGAATAACGATGCATTTCTAACACACATCCAGTAGGACAGAACTTGGAATCCAGAAAGACCGATGGAAGGCGATCCACGATTACAAATTCCAAAGACTCCTCTTTCTCTATATTTCTGACATGGGCCTGATTCTGGTGGTGTGTTCCACCTGCATTTTTTACAACTTGTGTAAAATTGCGAAAAGTCGTTTGACAGCACTTTCATGATAAAATGACAGATGAGTGAAGGGGCGTACCCCACAATGCCTCTGCAAGGCTCCTATTCTCCGCGAGCTCGTAAACTAGCATGCGTTGTTGCTTCTCTCTTACACAACATCCCAGAAGTTGAATAAGATTTCTGTGTTTGATACCCGTAATGTTCACCATTTCTCTGAAGAATTCGGCTGTATTTTGCTCAGTTGGATTGAGTTTCTTTACCGCTACAATGATTCCGTCTGCAAGTACCGCCTGTTCAAAGAGATGCAATACCAACCTTAAGTTTGAATACTAAACTAATACTGACCGTAAGTTAGAATCCATTCTACTACTTTGAACGGTTGTTTTCAGAAGCTTCGTATTCCAAAACACTAAGGCTCGTGGGCTTCAGCAGACGATGGTGACTAATTCATTTTACAGGCGCAACCGTGACTCACTTTTATGGTCCTGACTACTACATTACCTTGTATACAGTACCATATCCACCTTTTCCCAGTATATTGTCATTCGAGAAATTGCTTGTAGCCGTCCTGAGGTCATCGTAGCTGAAGAACGGTGGCTTTACGTGCTCTTTCTCTAGAGCTGCATAGAGGAAGATCGTTTGCGCTCAGAATCAAAAGCATGGAAATCTTCTTCTTCTTCTACTTACGAAGCTTAGGTTCGAAGTGGACTTTGCATTCATTATATGAGTCCTGGTGATTGCGCTAAACATTGCGAGAGAACTAACCTTCCTGTATTTGGTGTAGCTCTCGAGTTCGTCTCCGAATTCTGTACAAGAAATATGCAACTAAGCAGGCCATAAACAATAACACCAGTCCAGATACTACGCCCACGATGGCCAACGTTGTCGTACTGACGCCGTCATTATTCGCTACAAAAAATTCACATCCAAGGTCGTCATTTTGTGAGATACACAATTGGGCATTCTCAGAGAATCCAGTCAACAAAGTGTGGATGTTACAAGGCAGGAACTTACTCTGGGGCTCCGGCCAGAAGTTAACGTGCTCGTTTGAACGACATAAATATCTTTCGATCAAACTCGAACGGTTCGTTTCAGGATCAATGCACCAAGGACTGTCTGTGAGCCTGTGATGTTCATAAACAACAAGGCTCAGATTAGATTCTCTTTTTGTCCTTCTCAATCTATCGACCTAAATTCATGAATTTCAAATTCTCCGACTTAAGCTAGAGGCTAGCGCATGGTACGAGCAAAATGTAATCGAAAGGGTACTTGTGAAACCTATTTGAAGCTACCAAACATTGCGGGCGTAGGCAAGTGCCCAACCTCGTAAAATGAGCGCTTGAAACTTACAAAATGAAACCCAGCGGAGTTTGTAATGAATTCTGCTGTTCATTAGTTGATGGGGTTGGGATTATACTGTCCAAATCAATCAAATTTGCAGGTACAATCTCCTTGATTTGATTCCCCTGCAACCTGACCTGCCTAAGAACTGCAGACGCTTCCAAGCTTTTTGCCTTAAGGACACCCTGATACCATGTCGTCAGGTTCAACGTCTCGAACTCGTTATTACTCAGATCTCTGCATTGTGTTAGCATCAACTCTTTGAGTACTCGGTTGGAGAGATACAACATAGAAATGAAATGTGGTGCCGTGAGGAGCTCCTTCTGGACCAGTGACGAAGTACCGAATGCTTATGTTTCACTTGCTATCAAACTGCTATAACAATTACGGTATCAACTAAATTTTGATGACCTTCTATAACTGAAATACACATATGGAGAGGTTGACTAATCCTTCATTCGTGAATATAAACCCAAATCGGTTCAGGAATCCGGTCTCATATATCTGAGTATTAGAATTTCCTCCTCCCAAATTTTCAAAACTGCAGTTTTTGATCGATTAGTCTTAAAGACATTAAAGATCAATATAGGTTTACAAGCAATGAAAATCCAACATTTTCAAATAGAAAACAAAGACATCTTACTCGAATAAGGATAAGAATATGAAACTCACACCAATTGAAGGCTGGAACTGCTCCATAAGGTGCTGGGAACTGTTCCCCTCAGAAGGTTACTACTCAGATTTCTGTACGTACATATGTGCTCACGTCATTTGAATGTATAGCAACACATTCAAATGCCATTGACAACGAGAATAAACTGAAAAATTTCAAGGAGTTTCGAACACTTGAGTCCCTTGATGAGGTTGACAGGTTAGTAGTTTAACAGACGTTTAGCTTCACTTACAGATATTGTAAGCTTGAAAGTTTGTCCAGGTCAAAAGTCAGCTCCCCAGTTAGTCGGTTGCTTGATAGGTCCATACTCTGCAGATTCTTCAGTTTCTCTATCTCCGTAGGTATCGCTCCGCTGAAGGAATTTCTACTGAGGTCCCTGTATAACAGATGAGTCACGTAAATAAGAAGGGAGTATGAACTTCATACTCGCTTAGAAGGAGGTATAAAGTCACTTTAGTAGAGAGAAACTCCACTTAGGATTACTGAGGTGCGAACAATATCTGGCTCAGCTTTCTGCTTTCATGGCAGCATCTTGAGTCAAAAAAGTTAGATGTTTTCTTAAGTGAAAAGTACTTCTCCAAACTATGTCTCTGTAATGAAGACATTATCAAGCGACAATGAACTCAGCTGCTAGCGAAAACGATCGCCTATAGATTCCAGTAAGATTTTCTAAAGGTTTAATGTAAAAGAAACGGCAAAGTTATCAATAATCACAGGAATTTCACATGAGTCGAATGACCAGAGTCGTGTGAGGAAAAGAGTTAAAATAAATGTGTAAGTGAAATGTGCTTCTCGCAACTATGTGTGTTAGGCAAATATCAGACAGCACAGACATTGACAGCATCTGTTTAATGGTGTGCTAACATGAAGATATAGCATCATCACAACCTCAATCGCTGTCTAAACCAAGAGTAATGCTAGGAGAAGATGACTGTATCCAAAAAAAAGCGTAAATAGTGCAACTTACAGGTTGAAAAGAGGTTCAGCCAGTGAGTTGACGAGTGAGGATACGTTCCCTTTGAGCCTATTGTTGGAGAAAGATCTGCAAGGAAGTGGACATGAAGGTCATCTACTTGATCCTATTCAAAAATAATGCAGAAGTCAGAACTAGAGTGAAACACTGGATGAGTTCAGCTGGAAAATACTGGATCATCCTGTTGTGTTCCAACGGCTCCATCGAGTACTCCAACTACTTTAGCCATGAATATATACCCTGCCATCCTGCTTGGAATGAGCGAAGGTTTAAGATACTTACAGTCTTTCCAGATTCTGAAATGCCAATGGCGGAAAGCCTGGAAGTTCACCTTCCAGCTCGTTCCCTCCTAAGTTCCTAAAGTTCACAGAAAAGATGCTTGAGATCACTACGCTAACATTAGCTTAGTTTTTCGAATGATACGTTTGGTTAAACAACTAATTGGAGAAGTTGTGTAAACTTTTGCCAAATCGATCACGACAGACCTGAAGCACCAAAGAATCAATGAGCTTTAATCTATAGACAACACAAGTCACTGTGGCAATCTTGACGAGAGCAATGTACAAGTGAGCAGATAAAGTCATCGTTAAGTAGCCAACAATTAGTGACATCAAAACACTTCAGAGTTGCGATTACTTCTTACATTACTGTTAGGGTCGTGACATTCCGCAGGGACGCCGGCACGCGACCACGAAATGAATTGTTAGACAAATCCAAAATGGTCAGACGATCCAACTGTCCAAAATCTGTGGGCAAATTTCCGCCCACGCCTCTGCTCGTAATATTTCTGCAAAAGCGGAGAGTTCGTCTCAGTTGATTTACATAAGATCTTAGAAGTTGATCTCAGCATAAGTTTTTTCTTCAATTCTGCCCGTGTTCTCCAGATGCTTCAAAGGCTTCTTCTGGATGATTCGTACGATCTTTTGGATTGTCAATCTGCGCAATAAATATGAAGAGAGGAATTTCCAAGTGCTTGCACATCTTTCTTTGGACGTGTACTAGAGTTGAGAGCCCACTTACATCTGTGTAACTCGAGGTGGTGTTTCGATGCTGCAGACCACCCAGGCCCATGGGACCGGCAGGCAAGGATCGCCGGCTGTATCCAGTAAACTGGGAGCGCTCAGGGAAAAGGTTTTAAGGGTGCTAGCTGAAAGTTACAACACATAAAAAATTAAAATTTTATAGTTCAAAGTTTCAAGATCATCAGACGTTGCAGACTGAGCACCATCAACTTCAGAGTCGATTCAGCGATCAATTGTTCTCTACTGAAAACTCATGGAAATCCACTTGCCAGCAGTTTCAAATACTGGCAGGATCGTCCACACACTTGTTAATCTATGAGCAAAAATACAGCCGAGTACAGAGAGTATGGCATTATCTTATGGAGTTCTTACAATCGTTCTGGAATGTCCTCCATACCACAGCATCAAATTCTCCATAAAACTCTGCTGCATTGACCAATCCGGGGTTTGGGCTCGTGCCATTTGCTCTGATTTTGAAGGTGGGAGCATTCGTCGTAAAAGTCCACCTCCTGCTATAAACTTGTAACCACAAATAGTTGTAAATTTCTGTGTCTTCGAAAAACCGTTGCTCACCATCGTCGTCCAAATAGTTGTTGACAAACCGAGTGTTATTGGCAGTCTCCAGCATCTCGTAGAAGAGGAGGCTGAAATAGAAACTAGGGATGGCTCGCATTGCTCTCACACCCGTCAAATTTACCTCAAACGTCACGTTATTCTCCCACTGCGTCGCAACCCACGCTGTGCTCATCACCTCATCCGGCATATCAATCTCCTTATTGGGTGGATAGTGAACACGCGAAACATTCGTTCTAGATCGGAATTGCTTTTCACCGCTGGGAATCTTCGCAGGAGCCCATATCCGGTCGTACTTGTCAACGGGATATCTGTACAAAACGAACGCTCTCGATCAGTCACAGCCATGGCGCCGCAGCAGCAGTCGCTGAGACACCTCAAGTTCTGGCCAGCCAAACATAATTGAAAATGATAGCACCGACTCAGCGACCGTGGACCTGAAGCAAGTCGTACCTCAACTGGATGTCGCCTCCAAAATTGAGCCGGGCCACTGTCAGGAAGTAGGTCGTGATGGACAATTTGCGCATCCCAGTATCGACTCGAGGATACATGCCAAGTGCAAAGCTGCGCAGCTCCAGTGCGGAAATGGCCGGCATGGACGATCTGTCTTCGAGAGGGACCAGGCACACGTACACTTCCGCATCGAACGCGGTGATGACGAGCTCGAGGATCTGAGGTTGGTTCTCCTGCAGCTCGATGGTGGAGATGTACGTCGAGTCCACGGTGAAGTAGAAGCGCATGCTGTAAGTGCTCAGGGATACATCGTCTCCTCTGGCATTCGTGGCCTCGGTGGTCAGATTGCTGCTCGGAAACGTCGCGCGGAGGAGGTAGTTCATCGGCTCCTCGCTGGAGTAGTTCAAAATCGGCAGATTATAGCAGAACTTCGATCTCGGTATGGGGCCTATCGGGTAGAAAACCGACGCATCCTTCAAGCTCTCGGCGTTGTCCACGGGACTCGTGCTGGGCTCGAGAAGAACGCTGGCGCTGATAAGGACTCCCTCCGCGCGCAGGTCGTCGGATGCCTCGATATATCGCTCATCGTTCTCCCATTCCAAGCCCGTGACCGGATCCGTGAAGGCCCCGCCCCCGCAATTGAGGGTCACAAAGCCTGCGCATCAATTCATCAGCTCCGCCGAGTTTTAGTTGCCACTTCACACAAAGCTCAGAATCCCAGAACCTCTGTCCACAAGCTCGGAAGATTTAATCTCCCCTCCCCTGCCAGAGACTCTCATCGGGTACAGAGAGCATTTACTTTCCAATCATCTCGTTGCCCCTGAGACTCAGGACTTTAAGCACTTCCTTCCCTCTGCCTGAGACGAGGCCTGTCGCCATGAGACTCTCCAGAATTCATGACTACGATCCACACATCTCTTACAAACCATCCATCATTCAGACCCTGAAGCATGTGCAGAAGAAGAATGGTTCTCTTCCTTTCTTTGACTCAAGCGCAAACCTTCTGGGGAGATTTCGGAATCTCGAGTTGCAGGGGGGTGACCCCTCGTGACCTCTAGCCTGCAAAGCTGAACGAGCTTCACTGGAGCGAAGGGTGCACCCAAGTGAACAAATAACACATTCGGAGATGTAAATGCATGCGTGCGTACCTTCTGAAGACTGAGACGAGACAGTGGAAGCGAGCAGGCTGAAAAGAAGAGTCGCGGCCCACAAAGTTGTCACTCTGAAGTCCAGCTGCATGGTTTACACGGCTAGGAAAGTCAGAAGGAGAAATTGCTTGCGCATGAGCTTTTCATGCGTACAACTGACTCAGACGAGCACAAGTCATGTCAGCTTCATGAAGCTCGTGACTTCCTGCGGGAAGCTTCCGTTTTCTAAAAGTTTTTCTTCGAAAATCTGGAAGAGATTGTTGACTGAGAATTGTTCACCTTCATCAGGAGATGTTGACGTTCGATGAATTTAGTATATTCATGCGGGAGCCGCATAGAAATCTGTCACAGGTTTTGGAAATTACACATTGTGAGCAGAAGGAAATCTGAAGACGCTGGCTGGTGTACTCGCTGTGCCTTTTGACCCTTTGGGTCCTCCGGGCTTGATCTATTACCTTTTACCATTTGAACTGATGTCTTCAGTCCAGCAATTTTGCAAATCACGCTGAAGAATTTCCCGAACTGCGAAGAGCATTGCGATCGATACGAATTCTACGACCACAGACTTGAAAATCTTGGAAGCTAGCTAGCTTACTTACTTGGTTACACTCGAGAACGATAGTGACGGGCGGAGTGAAGTCTGATGCACGCACCTGCTCTCAAGACGCACTGAAGGTATACAATCCTAATTGCTTTTGTGCCCATGTGCTACTCATCCTCATCAGCACCGACTGCTTCTGCTTCTGCAATAGACAGACGCCGCCCACGACACGCCGACTTTCAATCTGTAAGAGTTTTCACTAGAAACATGAAACGAGCAGATTGGAACGATGTATTGGAGGTGAAGCTCAGATTTACAGAAAGCGCAAAATTCATGACCGTAATGATACCCGGTCGTTTCCATTGATTAAGTCAACCGTGGCGAGAACCGCTTTCATTAGAGCACATTTGAAAACAAGAATTCACTCGAGGAAATAAACTCTTCTCCAAATTCCAAGGCATCCTTAAGCAGTGAAGACATCCTCTGACTCTGAATTGATACGCAAGTCCTCCACAAGCCTGACTCCGGCTTCGGATTTTGCTCAGATTCTTCCTCGCTGGAAATCTTAAAAAACAAGAAGGGAAAGGAGCTGGAGACGAGGATGTTGTGGAAGTGGATGAAGGATGGAGTTATACGACCAAAACTGAGCTGTGACTCCAGTTCAGATATCGTACGAGCAGAACAATCTCAAAAAAACAGTTCAAAACGTTATTCCCCATCATCTAACGCTGACCCTTTATTAGCCCAGATATATGATGGCGGCTGAAGAACCAGAAGACCTTACGAGTCGTGTAGACTTCATTTAAAGTGTCCCAGGATCAGTTCCAGTGCTACCCTGCTACAGTTTTATTTCTTCTAGCTGCGTCCGACCTGTTGGTAATCACTCGATCACCTTCTGCCGTGGAACCCCCTGCAGGCATCCTGAAGGGTCTGTATAGGGAGGAGTCTTTATAATCTCAGACTTGCAAAAAGCCTGGATGTTTGGGACGATTCCTGCACTGTCACTTTACGCCTCTCCACATTTCAGCGTGCAAAGCTGCGCTTGCTTGCATCGCAAAAGGGTGGTTTGAATTTTAAATGTTCGCATCTCATGAGGGCGGGCCCCGAGCGTACTCGAAGACAGATCAGAAGCAGAGTAGCAGATCGAAGACATTGTGTTCTCGCAACACCGGGTCCGGAAATAAAGTAGACTATTCTCGAATGCATCAAGGACCCCAGTATTCATGATTGCCTTTGTTTCGATTCCCACCTTTGACGAGGCCCGTCATGCTTGCGTGCAAACGTCTCTGCTACTTTCGCGCCTCCAGCCTCCTCGACAGTTTGGGATGTTGAAATATTTTCCTAAATGCCAAACTGGAGTCTCTGCAATTTTCTTACTAGTCGTGAGCTTGACCGCAACCGCTGATCGGTTGCGTTTGCAGGACGTCCAAGCAGTAGAATGTTCTGTTCAGTTGCAGCAGTCGGATGGCCAGTTAGGCACTCACTACCTCCATCGAGCGTCTGTTCATCGAGAAAAGCCTCCTGCAGCAGCCTAATGAACCTTCAGAATCTCATCGTTGGATTTCTGAGGTCGATCCCTCCTCTCCCACTGTGCTCTGCTGCATGTATCATGCAGTTCACATTCTCGTGTATCTTTGTGGGGCAACAAAATTCGCATGAACGTAGCTTTCGCGTGCTCGAATCTTATGACCTGCATCTGGCGGAATCCATTTATTCAGATTCTTGTCAACATCGCTGCATATTTTCGTTCCTCTAAAAGTCAGAAAAGAATTTTGACACCTTTGACAGCAGTTTGAAATAGAGACCAACGTAGACATAAATTTCCAACTAGTTTCCAGCCTGTCAAATAGATTAGCCGCAGACGAGTATCCGGTCAACTATTTTCATCAGCTGTCATACAGGGGTAGGCGAGGAGAGCAGGAACTGTGTTGTCACTGCACATATTCTTCACAGGAAAACTTTTGTTTTTCCCAATCAAAATATTGCAGGACGAAGTTCCTTCAATGTTTTCATCTAAAGCCTTCACTTTGTCCTCTTATTTTATATCTTGGGGTTCACGAAAAGTTGAGAATCGATGCTAGATTGGAAGATTTTGCATGACCAAACCTTTCAGGCATTCATTGCAATGCCAGCATGCACCTCGGGATAAGATAGATACAGTACTCCAATACAGTCTGCCTGAGCAACTTGTACCCTATCTCACTTTGGGATTACATTCTTATACAAGCGATTAAGATATCACCGTACAACACGATGGCACACATGATCATCTGCTGACAATCACAGTACAATCCCAACATCTTCAGAAAGTGAAACTGCACACTTCAATAATTGTAAAATTATTGACTGGACGCACTTTCAAGTGTGAGGTTGTAAAATGGGCCTGGATCTAAGCACATAAGCTCCAACAGTTCCGAAGACGTCTGGGCGTGAACATAGTCAAAATTGATATGCCGCCCACGACTTCTTCACTATCTTTAAGGTTGTCCTTAGTTCTGCCCACCACTTGGGGTCTTATGCAAACCTTCACATCGTTTTCCAAAAATGAAGTGACAACTGATGTGATGTTTAATGTGTAGTTACATACGGCATTTTTGAGAAATAGATATGTTATGGAGATGTGTATGATAACACACATATCTCCATACCACCAGAACTTTGCCAAATTTACCTGGTTTCCAGCAGAATGATTCTCAAGTTTTGGCTCAGCCGAAAGTGACTATGGACTTCACACGGCACGACTTCACACATCATTCGTAAATATGGACTTCAAGAGTAATTTCAACAGGCCACAGTCTTCTCTATAACATACATATACACACACAGAATCCCATCGAACATAAAATGGATTATTCTGCTCATACCTGTTGATATAAATATCTCTCCCTTTCAAACTGTAGGTGGGGCAGGGTTTCAGCCAAGTACTTTTGCGCCTTCAGCTGACGACATTGTTTGATGCTGCTACTTCGATAACTTCAAATTTGTCAGATTCTATGGAGTCAAGGCTCAAGCTAATTTGCACCACCGTCGATACGTTTCTCTCCTATCTTCAATTGAGGTTCAGCAAATTGAACACTTGTGCATCTAAAAACTACTTTTATTTATAATATGCCTGAATATTACCTACAAGTATTGGTATCTCCATTCTTCCTCCAACATGGCGATGCTGCTTGATCTTGATTGATACTCCACCCAAAAAAAGCCCGAAATGATTAGATTTCAGTTTAACACCATTGCTATGTATGCACTTTCCCGAAGAGATTTATTGAAATTTGAGTAATACAAGCAAAAGCTTCTAACAGGCTTCTATGACAGTTGATTTAATACAAAAATACACCAAATTATGGTTGATTCTACAAAGCATTACAAATTTGAAATATTTATATTTTATCACTTCTGACTTCAATGCACTCTGCATAAATCATATGGCTTGGATAATCTCCTTTTAACAATTTTCAAACTCATATTTTGATAACCCTATCTTTGATGGAATTCTTGTTATCTTGTCAAAAAATACCAAACAAGAAAGTCAACTATTGTCAATAACCGATGGAATCAGGAACTCGGGATCCCTATGGGAACGTAACTTTGTGGGGGAGGTCGATACTTTCGGGAACGGAACTTTGTGGCGCGGGCGCGAAGCATATAGCTTCACCCCACCCCACTACCCACATCCTTATTTCTTTCTAAGCTATTTTAATTCATCCTACTTGTTTTTGAGATTAAATAATTGTGAAATTTATTAATAATACAAGTTGGATCAATCAAATCATCATTCAAAGGGAAATAAGTTAATTTTTTCAATTTTTATTGATGTAAATATAAGATAATAATGATGTTTCTACGCACATTTGTACTTCATTTCAACAAAGTTATTAGATTTTGTATAACGCCAATAGGTTTGATTATTTATTTTTCACTGAGAAATTTTACCTTGCAATTATTTACCTTGTTCAGTGCAAAAAAATAATAATTTCTTCTTATATTAATAAGGTTTTAATTAAATTGTCTAATCTTTTCCAATTATGAAAAATCTGAAGATACAAAAAATATATTAGTATTCAGGAAAATTATTCTTAATTCTAAATTCAATCTCCAAAATAACTAAAACATAGCCTTTTACAATAAATGATACGTATCACTTCACATATAACTGGTATTTTCTTAGTCCAGAAAATACAAAGTATTTCAAGTCAAGACAATGTACTAAGACAATTGGTTTGGGGTTTTCAGCCGACTGGCTGTGACTCTTCTGTTCTACTTAACGCGGAGAGTCTGCTAATGTGTGTTCTCATGGACGTAGCTAGAAGGGCAAGTCACTTATCGTATGCGTCTTTTCTTGTGTCTGCATTCTCTATCGTGTGAATTTTTTTGACAATTGGCATCAAAGCCGAGCTCCTTTTCTTGATGATTGAGATTCATGAAAGTGGTAGTGGGAGCCTTCATTGCTTGAACTTGTCAGCATCAGAGCACCGAGTGAGGAAGAGTGAGGAAGCCTGCGCAGGGGAGGAAGACGATGGAGTTGATGGATAATAGAAAATTGGATTAGAGTCACTTGGCGTGTGGCAGCTTTGCTGCAAATTTTAGTGTAATCTAACTTGTAGTTTGGAAAACTGGCCAAAAGTTGATTCTCGACATACGGATCCGGAGCATGTAGTCGTTGGTCGTTTGGAGGAGCTGATGGGGTAGTCAGACAATGAGGAAGTTCGTTAACCGTTTGCCTGGATAATACTGCTTTATGGTGGATCAATGGTCATTTTGGATGTGATGATAAATGTTGCCGATCAACCTCATTTCAAGAATGGAAGCTGTTTTTTAGTTTCTATGTGAGTCGGCCTCCGCATGATGAAAATGCTGAAATTTGATCTGATCTACCAACTCACTTCATACTTGTAATTACTTCCTCCCAACGACTATGATTTACTTATTCCATTTTTGATAATTTTGACTAATTCATTTTTTAATTTGACGAGTTGTCTCTTAATAAATGGCTCTATGGCCTTTCATTCAGACATGATTGGACTCTTAGTCTCGTTCTGAGAATCCACATCAGGCCCGTCAATTCTCTCCAAATTCCAAGTGATTGCTGGAGTTTTCTCTCCATGATAATATGTATTTAGCTTGATCATCCTTATAAGTGAGCCACTTCTTATTAGGGCCAGAGTTAAGCTTTCACTTGCAGGCCAAAATTATCTCGTCATGAACTACTCATAAAGAGCTATAGACCGGGTATCCGTTTTTTTTTTTCATTTCTTTGACCAGATGTCATCAGTCTCTCGAAAATGCCTTGTAGTTTTTTTTTTAAGATTGACTCGCATATACTTAAAATCGAATCTTTGTTGATGCGGCATGATCTTTGAAGCTTTACTATTTTATTTTTCCTTCTAGATGAGGAGATCATAGCTAAAATCTATCTGCCTCAAATTTAGTATTTGGAGATCTTTAAAGAATATTGTGTTATTATCGCATGAGTAGCACAAGTAAAGTAAACTATCATTTTAGTTACCTCTATATATTTTTACTCTAACATATTTTGGTTACGATTTAATTCTAGTTAATTTTAGCTTAAAGAGTGATGTTTGTTACATTATTTTAATGCTTTCATTGCAAAGTAAAGAGTTTGTTATTTTCCCAATATGTGTTAAAGGGGAGACTGTTCTGATAAATCCAAGTTAGTACGGTGTGTCGGAAAGTCACCCTTCCAACTTGTTTTATATACTACAATAGTGAGTTTAGGGTTTTTGCCAACTGGCTATGACTCTCGTGTATTACTTAGCGCGGCGAGTCTGCTCGTCGCGCCAAACATTTTATCTTTGTATTACCGTGGACATAGCCAGAAGGGCGAACCAATTAACCTATGTGTTTTGTAATAACCCACTAAAGGCTAAAACTGCAATATAGTGGTAGAAAGGTCGAACCCACAGGGACAGAGGAACACACAGGGTACAAAGTGTCACGTTTTAACAGACTATTGAGGAGTTTGAATTCTCAGGCGACTGTCACTCCCAGAAATACTGCAAGTGTCCACTCGGAGCGCACTCGGAGGTCGCACAGTGCAGCGTAACACACACACACACACACACACACACACACCTGAAACTACAGAAACACAACCCAGAGATCCGTTAGGACCTCTACTTCAAGATTTCAGGGGGAAAGTCTCTCGCGAGCACACTCGGCAAAGCTGCGGGCAGTGACTTCCAACTCCGGCTTTTACAACACTTCCACTAGCTTGCTGCTAGTGTAGGAAACCCGGTTTGGACTGCCTACTTCGGATCGAAGTCACTCCTACGCGGTGAACAACACTCTCAACTCACAAAACGCGCAGAGAACACAGGTCCGCACTGAAGGGCTCACTGTGAAACATTCCAGTAACACAACAACAGTCTATTGAAGAGTTTGAATTCTCAGGCGCTTGTCATTCCCAGAAATACTACAGGGGTTACCCTCAAGGCACCTGCTGCAGCGTAACCTGAATTTACAACCAAGGCTTACACGAAGTAGCAAAACTTCACTTTGGCATTCAGGGGAAAAATCCCAAGGGAGTACAATCAGAAAGAAACACTCGAAGGTGTAGGGGCGAAACTGTTCAAGTATCTAACTAGTCACTGGCTCTGAGCATCGGCAGTCACCCGCAGGTACAGATCCGAACTACTCAAGTCTCTAACCAATGTACTAGCTCTGAACATTCGGCCGAAGGCCTTCAGCTACAAAATGCGGAACGCTAAGTTGTAACTCCTCGTGCGTGGTGACAGAACTCAAGGACACAAACACGCAAAGGAAATGGGTTCCTGATCTGCACTTCTGATGGGAAAGAACCCCAGGCAAAACGCCTGGAACTATTTTATACCTTCTAAGTCCTAACTAGCACTACACTGCACTACGCTACACGCCTGCACGGAACCACGCTACACTACACTCCGCGGAACCTGTACTACGTCTCCTGCGCGGCCGACTGCCGCGCACTAACT